ATCCCATTTCTAAACTCTGGCATGCATTTTTAGCAAAAAGTGCTTTCTTAAAAGAGCTGTAGAAGTTTTCAGCCTGTTGTACAATATTATTGTGTAGCTAGCACTTAACTGTTTTGTGCAAGGTATTTGATTTGCCCAGATGTTCTTCTGGGAAATACTGGAATAGCAGAATGGGTCTTTGTAGTCAGACAGAAAATCACATAAGTATGTAAACGCAGGTATATTTTGGTGTATTTCTGAAAATGTATTTTAAAAAGTATATGCTTCTTTCTGATGAAAGTGCTCCCTCAGTTAATGGAAGCAGCAGTTGTTAGTACTGCAGTTTATTTTAAGCATTTTTTTGCATACAAATGAGATCTTTTTACCGAATCGATTTTCTGCATTCACAACTGGGTTTACTTGATCTATTATCAAATGTAGTATTTTCTTCCTCTTTTCACTCATTATCACTGAGAAGCCTATGCAAGACTGAGAAGAATTATTATCGTCATTCCTGTGCATCATCAGAGAGATTGTTTATTAAATTCTAATTATAGAACATGTAGACTACGGCATTAAAACCCATTGTTTTCCCAATGCAACCCAAATTGCATGGGGAGAGATAATGTGGCCTGAAGGACTCTTATTACTGATGCTTATGAGAGAGAATCAGAAAATACCGGGTTAAAATCTCTTTTCTTAATTATTGAATATATTAACTTGAACTTTCCTCAGAGACGGTATGTATTAAAGCTTAAGATGTAATTTTTAGAAGACTGGAATGTCATGTTGAAGTCCTTAAGTTTGAGAGCAGAACAATACTTTAATAAAAAAAAAAGTGAGAATTGCTCTTAAGAAGGTAAAAATTATCAGCTAGGAAAGCTTACTAAATGCTTGCAGGAATAATTTAGTCAGTGAGACATCCTTGCATAGAATGAGTGCCTATAAACAAACCAAGATTGATTGTAACAAACAACTTATTTGCAACACTAATTTGCATTTATTCGAGTAATTCTGTGTAAGTATAATTTGCTCGTGGGTCATTTTTTACTAAGTCAGTGCCAGTATCCAGCACTTAACTTTCACATTTTGAGCTGGATTAGGCAGTGACTGATCATAGAGGTTTCATATTATTGTCTATTCCCTGTTTTGGTGGCAAAAACAACAGAGAGCTTTGTTACCTTTGGGAAAGATAATTAATAACAAAGTCATCCTAAATACTCTAATACACCTACTGTAAATGTCATACTTTTAGCCCATAAAACATTTTTCAGATAACAAAGGGATGTATTTCTAAGGAGATGTTAATTCTTTGTTTTCAAGGAGAGGAAAGATAACTTGATAGGTAAGAGCTACTCTCATTCTGCTTTTGGTCACTTTCTAGTGATTTATTTTATTTCCATTTCTTGATGAGGTTCCCTCGTGATCAGACAGGCAAATCTTTTGTCACATTTTGCTGAGATTGTAGCTCAGTTTTCAAATACTAAGGCTTTTAGAGTCAATGTGAGTATTAAAATTACAATGAATTGTAGATAAGAACAGATCCAGTAAAATATTTTTAAGCTTCTGGAGCCATACAATAAAACCAAACATAAGACTTTTCCTACTCTGCTCACTTGAATCTAACCTGGTTGTTACAATATTTGCAGTCCTAGATTGCACAAAAAGATAATATTTGGCATTCTCTTGCTGTTACAAAGAGCAGTAAGGACAAGAAAGCACTAAAATATGAAAGCAATTGTCAGGTCATTTAGTCAGTGTCACTTTTGGCAAGCTGTAGGTAAAGATAATTTGGCACAAGTTTATATTTAGAAGTACCTAATAATGGCCTTGATTCCTGGGCCATCATTTTCCTGATGATTTTGTTTCAACTAAATTTTTAGAGTAGATTACTTCCATTGTGTTTCTAATTCTAAGTGTCAATTACATCTTTGGCGGACTATTCAGAATATACTTCTAGGTGAAATACCAGTAAGAAAGCACTTGAAAACAGGCAAATGAAAAGAGCTGCTCCCAGATACGTTACATCAACAGAAAGACAGTAGCCCGTCCAAAATATAAAAGTGAAATTAGCCTCCATACCTCAGGAGCAGAGCTCAAAGGAAGACATGCTGTCTGTTATTAAACCTAACAACATAGCTGGCAAAAGCAGATATGCTTTTGATATGCAAAACCGAAGAAAAGTGTGTGTTGCCAGTTTTCCCACTTCATTCCAACAATATCTAATGACCAAATTGATCTTCTCAACAGGAACCTGTTCTTGTTTGTGGAATCCAGCGTGGTCATAACTGTCCCAAAGCAGGCACAGTGACAGTACTGGATATGGCTGGGATAGAGATACCTTTCCCCACAGCAGCCCATATACTGCTGTGCAATGCACTTATTGTTAGGACAGCTTTGATATACCACTTCTGTTTTGCTCATTTCTGGGCATTGCTGGCACAGCATCCTGAAAGCCAGGAGGCTGGGGATGGGTGAGATGGGGAGGGGACATTGCCAGGGCAGCTGACCTGAACCATTCCATCCTGTACAATGTTACGTTTAGCAATAATATCTGGGAAAGGAAAAGGAGAAAGGGGGGCTTTCATTATGAAAATATCTTTCCTCCTTTATATGCTGTGAGACTTGCCAGTCATGATCAAGTACTGTGACTCTCCTTAAGACTGCCATTAGACTTTGTTGGAAGTACTGCCATTTGAGGTTGTGCAAAAAAGACCCAGTCTCTTCTCCAGTCTTTTCCTAACTGTTCACATTTGATGTCTGGTTTCACCTTCCAAATTGCTAGGTGCTTTCTGTGTTTAATAAGAAAAATTACATATTCTTCTGTCCTACTTTCCTCTCTGAGGGATGGGGGAATGCCTGGGTGTGTCTCATTCTTGTCCCCACACAATTCACCTCATTTTCTGATTAGCATTCTCTATGAAGAAGATAAATTATACCCAGCTTAACTCAAAATCCTGAAAGAGCTAGGTGAGTCCCTAGCCTTGATTTCTTCTTGAATTTATTTGAGACTCTCTTGGGGCTTTTTACACTATAAATAAGAATATATTTTCTGATAGCTATCCCTTGATCAAAGAAAATGGACTGTATGGCTGTTCTGCCTGTAGCAGTGTTCTTTCAGAAGCTGATAACCCTCCAAGCACAGCTCAAACTTCTTACCCACGTGGTGGCCAAACTCACCTTGACTAGTAAACTAACTTGCTTGTTTTGTGTTTTGTGTGTTTGTTTTTTTCCTAAACCACCTACCTCTGTAGTTGAGGCTGTTTTTCTCTGCTGATGATGAGAGGAATCTTTCTTTTTATACAGACAACACCAAATCTTGGAGACTGCTACCAAATCTCTGATACGTTAAAAAGAACAGTTGTCTCAGTGTGCTGCCTGTCCAAGTGAATGCAGCTAGCTTCCATGCAATTCCTGAGGTGGGAACAGTGCGAATTCATGCAGAATAGATGGAATTGCTGGGAAATGTTTTTTTCCCATAATAGTTACTCCACTGGTAACCAGAGCTTTCTGCAAGCCTATGCGTGATGCTACACTGAACAGTTCTAGCTTTGCTAAAGGGTTTCTGCATTTCATAAAAATTACCAATACCTATACCCAGGTAAATACAAATTTACACTGATTACTGGCTGGAACTCCCTTCAACGTGAATGTACATGGAACTGCTGCTTGAAAATCTAATGAGATGTTACCAGCAGCTGGCTTCTTCCAGATATAGAGTCCATATGTACATTCACATCTCACCCACCTTCCACATTTTCTCTGCATCCTTCCAAAATGCTGCTGGGATGGGACCATGCAGCTGAGACAGCTGCAACAGCCGTTGGGCTCCTCCCAGAGGAAAAACTATCTCATTTTCATCATCAGATATACACTTTGACTGCACCCATGGATTGTGCATGTTGAAAAACTGCTTGCTGATAATATTTTTTAATTTAACTGTGAATATTTAATTCAAAAAAGAATTCATTCTACACTAGCTGCTTCCTAGCTCTCCTTTCATCCAAGAATACAATCTGCATACTGCGTCACTCACTGTGTCTGTGTCAGAGACCTGGAGGTGGTGTGGTGGTGGGGAATGTTATATAAAATCCCACAGAAACTTGCAATAGCAATGTGGTCTCATTCATGAAGGAAGCTGCACTGTGAATGTATTTCAGAGAGTGTATTTCAGATGGGAATACCATAAAAATGCATAAATTGCTAGCTTGATACAGCATTTTTGGAACCATGTTATTAAAAAAGGTTAGATAGGGCATTCTGCTGTATCCTTCATGTCATTTAAATGGCTTTATATTTGTCAACGCAGCTATCAATAAAATTTCATTGCAGCATTTCTTTTTATCACTTGCAGGTTTATGGGGCTACTTGAGTTTTTATTTTATTTTGTAAATCATTAACTATAATGAGAGACTGTTTTACTATAATATAAAAAGGTACCATCCTCTGGATTCTTCATTCTGAGAACAGCTCTACCAGGCCAAACCTACTCCCTGCTTCCATTGAACTGAGTAATTGCATCTGCTTAGGTTTGAAATAAAGCATTGTATAGCAAAACAGAAGTAATTGTGCAGAGATTTATAAAACACAGCACCAAAGCAATGGTACCAGGCTGAACACTCATTTATTTCATAGAATCACAGAATCAGAAGAGACCTTTGAAAGCCATCCAGTCCAACCCATCTGCAAAGAACAAGGACACTACAGCCAGATCAGGTGCTTACAGCCCCATCCAGGCTGACCTTGTTGTCTCCAGGAATGGGGCATCCACTACCCCTCTGGGCAGTCTTCTCCAGTGCCTCACTGCCTTCATTGTTAAGAACTTTTTCCTTATATCCAATCTAATGTCCCTTCCTTTAGTTTGAAATCGTTTCCCCTTGTCCTATCTAATTTTACCTCATTTATTTATTGTTGGATATTTCTTAGCAGTAAGAGAGGGAAGTGAATTTATTTTAAGTAAGGGCGGGTATTGTTGGCTTTTTGGTGCTCACTTTGCAGATGTATCTTTTCTCTTGAATTAGGTGGAAACAGCAACCGATTCAGATACTGAGAGCAGAGGCCTGCGGGAATACCACTCAGTTGGAATACAAGTGGAAGATGAAAAACGGTAATTCAAGTGCATACAAAAATCTGTAATCTTTCATAAAAGCACATTTGTAAACAGTGTTAATAACAAACATCTGGCAAATGCTGCCTCTAAATAATTCAGAAAGCCAAATTTCTTATTTGCATGCTGGTCGTTTGGCAAAATTTGTAGAGAATATGCAACGCTTGTTTAATATTGTGTTCATTTTACTGTTTTAAATTGTAGTGAAGGAAGTGAAAGTTTTAAATTGAAGTGGTGGATTAATACCCTTTCATATTTTCAGAAAAAAAATACAGAGAGATGTATATTAGGATCTTGTGCTGATTTAGGCTTTCTCAGTCCTTCTAACAATGGTTAGGATGTAACTGGAATCAGCTTTCCACTTGTTCAATCCTGATCTGGTTCTGTAGCACTATCAACCAATGTAGCAGCCCACCGGGTTATCCCTGGCAGGCACTGCCTGTTAAGCACCAGCCTGGGACCATTATCTCATTTCACGGCAGCTGTCAGATAGCATTTGACTGCTAACTGCCTTTTACCATCATTGACTAGAAGTAATTTGAAACAACAGGTCTAGATGTGAAAAGATTTCACGAATAATCTTTCTTTGTCCGTCTAACTTTTTAAAATAAATCTTTTCTCAAATGTTTTTTGTGGCATAGCGCAATAAAAAAGATTAACATTTAATGGTTGTCCTATGAGGTAAGTAAAAAAACCAAAACAACTCTTAAACCTTCAGTTAATATTTTTCTTTTTTTTAAAGAATTCTCAAAAGCCCTAATTTAGCAGATTTTGTCAAATTATGATCATTAATATTTGAGTGTTTTTATACATTTATTTAACAGTCTTCCACCAGGAGATGCAACCCTGCAGTTCTGCTAGTTATTTCCAGTTCTTTTAGTAATGATACATGGTATTTTGTAGAATGAGAATAACGTGGTATGAGAATAAATCAATATTTGCTTGCAGAGATAATTTAAATGAATTTCTTTTGTATCTTTGCTGAGATCAATGATGGCACAATGCGTTCTGTTTTTCCTCTCTATTGTTAACCTCTGTCTTATTTTAGTGAGGTGTGCACAAAGAAAAAAATATTTAGCATAAAGGAGAAGGATAGAAGTAGAAGCCATTCACTGAAGCATTATTCTGCACCCCTATATCATCATATATTCATTTGTGTTATTTAACCTCTTTTCTTTCTTCCCGCTTCATCAAGACATGGACGATTTAAGCGCTCAAACAGTGTGACAGCAGCTGTCCAGGCTGACCTGGAGCTGGAGGGCTTCCCAGGACACATCACCATGGAGGACAAGGGACTTCAGTTTGGCTCATCCTTCCAGCAGCACTCGGAGCCCAGCACCCCCACCCAATACAGCGCAGTGAGAACTGTACGGACGCAGGGACTGTTCAGTTACAGAGAAGATTACAGGACCCCAGTTGACACCTCAAACCTTCCACCACCAGAGCCCTGGCTGGAGCCAGCCATTGAGACAGTAGAGACTGGTCGGATGTCTCCTTGTCGACGGGACGGTTCTTGGTTCATGAAGTTGCTACATACTGAAACTAAGAGAATGGAGGGATGGTGTAAGGAAATGGAAAGAGAGGCAGAAGAAAACGATCTTTCTGAGGAAAGTAAGAACATTTTGCTATCTTTTCTATTACCATATATTGATGGTGTGTGGTTTTTCCCCCCTCTTTTTGCAGTACCAAAGACGATCTACAGAACCACTAGATGTAGGCAGCCTTGCTGCTGATTGTGCAAGCTGGTTTTGTCAGGCTGGGGCTTTAGGGTTGTAGCTGAGGAGAGAACTGCATCAAGTACACGATCAAAGCCTGATATGGCTTAAGTGGGACAAGATCTCCTTCCATAGCTCCAGCTCTGGCTCATTCTTCCCACTCACTTCTGCATTTCCAGTGCTTGAATCTTTGCCAGAACACAGAAGTTTATCTTGTGTTAACCTTTTTGTTGTTGTTCCATTTTCCTGAATCCTGAGAATCCTGAGAATCTGCCTCTTCTTTAGAAGCCATTTTAAACACATTTTAATTCCTTTATAGGACCTGAGCAAAATGCATATAAAGGAACAGTTAGAATAAGAGAGAGGAGTATGCAGAAGCAATAGCTAAAGCACTTCTACAGTCTCAGATAGTTCAGTAGCATTTTCTTATTATAATTTTGTCAAGAATCATTATTTCTCTCACTTCTTGTGGACACCTTGAATGAAGTGATGGGAAAAAATGAAAAATAATGTAGACTATTTTGGAACAAGATCCAAGCCAGCACTAATGATGGTAATATATCAAAGTGGTCCTAGCACTCTGTAGCCAGCTCCCCGTCATTCCCTCTGAGGTCAATTATCCTTGTTCTCCGGTCTTAGTTTTATAAATATTTCAATCCCTGCCAATCTGAATTATTGTCTCAGCTCAGCTTTTCTCAAATCACAAATTAGTTCATACACAATTTTCTTAGTAGCATCTTTTCCTACACTCACAAATCTCACACGTAATCTCTGAATATACTTTCCTTATTGTCTTTTTTCCCCCTCAGTGAGCTCTTGCTTATGATCTGCCCCCAGGACTTGGGCCAGACCTGCATGGTCACTAAAAGGCCAATTTCTATTTCTTTCACTGACCTTTTAAAAGGACAGAACACCTGCATTTTTATCGCATCATTTTCATTTGCAGTCATACTTCTGCACTGCTTTTTGTGCAAATCTGCCATATAACAGCATAGCTTTTAGTGTGGCAGAGATCATAAGGTTGTTTTCTTCTTTAAGCATCCAGTTTTTTCTTGAGTTTAGATTTTTGTCGTCATTTTCACGATGGCAGATATGAGCTGAGAATTTTCTTTGCATTGATAATGTGAAGACTTTAATACCCTCTAAGGTGCTGTTTAAGTACTAACAATAAAATATTTTGCTTTGCTTAGCACGTGTTAGGATTTCCAAAACTACTTTCATTGCAGTTATTTTTTAATGCTTAGTTTTACCATATACATATTTTTGTCCTATCCCCTAAATCTTTGTTCTGCTAAATGCTCTGCCACCAATAAGCGTCCCAAAGCACTAGCTTTTGGTGTTGGGAACATCAGTGCTTGCTATCAGAAGCAGAAGTTTGAAGAGCAAGACTTCAATTTCCTTCAAAAAAGTAAGATTATTAGGAGACAAAGGGGAGAATTACAGTCAACCCACCTCTTTCCCCAGGAGGCCAGCCAACTGTTTTCAGGCACTTCTGCTACCTCCTTTCTTTCCAAGCTCTTCTCCTTCCTCATGTGCAGCCACCATCAAATCTGCAATCACATGAAGTGAGCAGTGGAAATACTCTTACAGACAGAGGTAGGGAGCTAGTGGAGCTCTCTCAAATATGTAGCTGTCTGTGTATTATGTCAGGAAAAGCTGGAGGAGCTGATTTTAGCTGACTACCAATTCCCAGGTCCAGACCCGCACTACCTCCACATGATGCTATCTATGCTCTTGCACTCCAGAAATACCCTAAAATACCTTGCAACAGTTAGGAAGATTATTTTTTTCAGGAAATAATTCAGGACATAAAGGGTGGGACATGAAGACAAATTGAGCCTCAGTGATTTTTTATTAATATTTGTAGTTGTTGAGACTCTATCCTTTTAACCTAGAATTAGAACTTAATGTTTCCTTACTTGCAGAGTGACTGTAAGAGAAAAAGAAAGAGCAGTTCCTTGATACAGAAATACTGAAATGGACTCTTGCAATTCCCATTTTAACCTAACCAAGACAGTTTAATTACCCATGTTTGGGGGAACACTCTCACCTCCCTTATAGATTAAAGAAATTACTGCAGAAGAGGTCCTATAGCATAAGTTAAATCAGATGCTTATCTTCAGCTGGATGTGAAACATGACAGACTCCTTTTCCATCATATGTACTCATTTCAAGAGATCTTTCTCAAATCATTTCCTAATCTTTGGAATAGTATCCCCTCATTTCATATAACTAACATAAACTAAATGGAGATTATCAAATAATTATTTTCAAGGAGGGAATGAGCTTCACAGCATTTTAAAGTTTTTGCATGAATAACTGTTTTGCTGTTGAGCCTCTGACACATTTTATATACTCAGTTTGAGCTATGAAAGTTGGAAGGTATGTATCCACAAGAACTAAAGTTTAATGATATCCCCAGCATGAAATGTATCTTGACTTATTCAAGCATTTCACAGTTCTCTGAAGAAAATGCTCACAGATGTGGGAGCCAGAAGCAACTAAATATGTTTTTTCCATCTTCCAGCAGCTACTATTCCCATAACACTTGACAGCAAAGTTTGCACATTCAAACTGTCACTGTTAATGCTGAATTGTTCTTTTGTTGGCCATACTAATTGTACCTGAAGAAGAAAGGTAGCCTTGCATCTCCTATGAGAAGGCTGTCTTTATGCTACCACTTCAATTTTGTTTTAATCAAGGGAAGAGTTAAAATCGAACTGTATTTTAGAAAACAATTTCATTTTCTGTGTTAGCACAATAGCCCTGAGATCACAGAAAGCTGTCTGATTGCTCTATTGATTTTTTTCTTTCGCTGTAGCTTTTCTCCCATAATGTTGTTCTAAGATCTTCACTCATCAGGTCTAGGAAAGGGAGAAGATAATCACTGCAACAAAAATAATCTAACCTCTCACGCTTTCTTTCTGCAGACATTATTTTTTTGTTTGGTCAGTTGCCATGAATCACATCTCAGAGTTTCTGTGAAGTTCATTTATTGTCTGTGTGAGCAGTTATTTGTGTTCTCAACCTTTATGAGAATACATATATATATATATAAAATATATACATGGCTGGAAGTGTTCCCAGGGTAAGCATGTGATCATTTGCACCGGCAGGGTGTCTTCCAGCAAAAACATGTGTTTCTCTGGGGTGCTGACTGGAGTTGCAGTTTTACACCCTGAAAATTGTATTTGGCTACTGCTGGTGTGTAGGTGATGACAAGAAAAACACTCCCAGTTGTCACAGCACTGTTGAAGATGCAGACGGCCAGGACTGTGCAGCCTGAGCCCAGATTTCCTGAGCTGCGTGATGGGAGCAGAGGACTTTGCACAGGAAGGCAGAAAGCCCATGAGCCCATATGGGGGTTGTGGGATCAGGTGTGATGTGACACAGGGAAGCAGAGGGCAACTGGGCTCCCAAGTGCCAAATGTTTGTCTAGTGAAATATTACAGTGCTGTGTCAAATGGAGTACCCCCCAGACTTTATTCCTGTGTCAAAATCCTAAGATAACACAGTGTAAAAATTTCTCCTTTGTTCGAACAGAGCCTTTAAGTCTGGTATTAATCACACTGGCAGACAGTCTTTTTCTGACATCTTCTGCATCACTGTTAGAAGCTTTGCTGACACAGCTGTGCCCTGTTGAAGTAAAGGGATCTCTGGTATATCAGGCATTAGAGAGAGCTCAAAATATCACCTTTCTCTCCCCTTAACCCTTCATTCCAGGGATGCCGAATTTTTCCTTTCTAATCCTCCAACCAATATTTCCAAAATTCTGCAAGGGCTTTAGTAACACAGAAGAGTTGTAACAAAAACAGTAATTGGAGAAAAGAAACCTCACAATCAATTTACTTCAGTGCATCCTTCAGTTAATCCCCCATAAAAGTTTTCTTTAGGTGTTTGACCAAATATAGATTACTCTTCAACCAAAGATAAATTAATGACATAAATTCCTAATGCTTCTCACAACTCTACCCTTCAGGAGCTATTGAAATTGACATTTGGAGTGTTGTAAATGACTACAGAAAGTCTTAATTTCCCTGAAATGGTAGTTAAAGTCAATAAAGGAGAGTCCCATAGTAAGGAATCCAAGAATTCCTCCTAGCATGTATATTGTGCTCTAGTTTTCCCCATTTTGGTAAAAAAGTGAACATGCACAGTCTCACGGCTCACAAGGATTCCATTGCCCTTCCTCCTCTCTGTAACAATGCTGATTGATAGCTGTGCTGTCCTAAAATATCATCTCACTGTAAACATAGCCTGTCTGTTATGTTGTTAGTGGAAAAGACATATGTTTAGGATTGATTTAGATTTAGGTTTAGATAAGTATAGATTTACAGATTGAACAAACATTCTGGTTTACATGTTCTGCTTTGAATTAGGGTGACCTAAATGGCAGTTTAAATACATTTCCAGGTATATTTCCTCAGAGTATGTATGGGACACACACAGCTTAGGGAAAAAAAAAATGAAAGCTATGAAATGAAATGAAAATGTAAAACTAAAAGCACATCATTTAAGTAGCACGAATGAATGCCAGAAGCAGGTTGTCAGTAGCTTCCCAATGCTTGTGGCGCAACTGAGCAAAGCTTTTAACCTATCAAAAATAGAGTTATAACATCACACTGTGATCTTGATTTCGTCAACATAGGTCTAACTTTTCTCCCCCTGCATTTCTGAGGTGAAACAGCATTCAATTTTAAGTTCTTGCAGTATTCCTCAAACAATGCAACATGTATAAAACAATATTACTTGTAACACTTCTTGCGATCTGCATATTGCTGGAAACAATATGCCTTTGTGTGAATTGTCCACGCTGTTTATAGTGAACTTGCACAGTCTTTATCAAGAGTATAAATCCTGAATATGTATCTTCTGCAGTCACTGTCAGGGTTTTGTATGTCTTTGGAATAAAAGCCGTACGTTCAGGACCACACAACAAAAACAGAATGTTTCGTATGCATCAGGAAGAAGAATTAATGTTATGTTACTCTTTTCTGAATTTCAAGTAAATATACCAGTATCTTAATGGTGGGGAGGTATATGAATTATATTGAAATTATGTATCTTTATGTTTGGTGATTGATTTTATCGTCACTTATTTACAAGCAGAATCTTCCAAGCATCACCAAACATCTCAGTCTCTCCAGTCTGTAACATTCATCATTCTTTCATGGAGATAATCAATCTGCACTCATCAGAATAATTCCCCAATGCATGAAATTAATGACAAGGCTTTGGCTGTCTATTAATATTGTGCTAAAGATTATGAATTGAAGTGTTTTAATACTTTAATTTAATTACAGCAAAGCAGAGTAGCATGAACATGAGAGATTCTAACTTCTATGTTTTATTAAGTCTCATTTACTTATTGAAATGGAAATAGAGTTAGATCTTCAGTAAATGGCAGGCCTGTAATACATGTGTATTCACCACTATTAGAGCCTTTTTGAAAGGCTGCTCACCAGTGCTGTAGGCTCCTTCACAGCAAACGTTATTCCTGGCAGCATGGCCTTAGTTCTGCAAGTTAGTTAAACTCATTGTCTGTAGAGTAGCTCTGGCAGTCCTCTCCTCAAGCACAGTGGGGATCTGTGCTTCTGGAGAGACGGGCATCAGACAGACTAAGGTTGTTTCCTAAGAGTCTGCAGAATCATAGAATGGCCCGGGTTAGAAGGGACCTCAAGAAACATGAATCTCCAACCCCCCTGCCACATGCAGGGCCACCAACCTCCCCATTTAATGCTAGACCAGGCTGCCCAGGGCCCCATCCAACCTGGCCTTGAACACCTCCAGGGACGGGGCATCCACTGCTTCTCTGGGCAGCCTGTTCCAGTGCCTCACCACTCTTTTGGTAAAGAACTTGCCCCTGATATCCAACCTAAATCTTCCCTCCTTCAAGTTAAGACCATTTCCCCTTGTTCTGTCATTATCTACTCTTGTATGGCATATGGTTTGACTTGGTGACACATGCAGATGGCCTGGAAGCACAGCGTCTGACATCTGAAATGGAGGTTGTCACACAAAACATTGCACAGACGTTGCCTAAGTCTTTTCTGGCCTGCCTGGGCTTTAAATCACAGGTGCCTGTTAATGTGGTCCTTCATGATCATGAAGGTCAAATAAATGTTTATTTAATTTGGGGTTTGGAATAACAGTGAGATTCACTAGGATATATCAGGCAGATCTAGATTCTGTCAAGTTTCTATGGCAGGGCCAAAACCAATGTTTTTTTTTATCACGCTTTGTACTTGAGCTGTGAGCTACAAATTCAATGGAGGAAGCTAAAACTGAGCTGTATTCCCTGCGAGACAAGCGTTACATCCCTCAGCCTACAGAATCGTTCTGTGGGTAGCTGAATAGAGTATGGAGTGTTTGGCAAGGCAGTGCCAGGGACCTGCTATGGCAAAATTCCTCATCTCAGGAAAGAAGGGATCCTGACCCCCTACCCTGATAGTTTGTCCTATGTCCGGTACTACAGAACATCCAGGGACAAGGAAGACAAAGCCTGGGTGATACATCTTTGCCTTTGTTAAAAGTTCTGACAGACAATGAAAGCAATTTGTTTCAGATCAAAGGAAACAGTTCTTCTTTATTTAGATTTCTATGTGTTTGCACAGGTTTTAAACACCCAGAACATTGCTTTTCCTAAGCCAATAACTCCACAGAGGAAAGTGAGGAGTTTGGTGATCAAAAACCCCAAACCAATTAAAATGTTTTATTTCATTTGGCCAACTGAACATAAATAAATCCCCAGTGAATTACTCATGCAGCCCTGAAACACTTAACCCCTTCAGAAATGGGTAGCACAAGGGACAGATGAATTATGCATATTGCTGTTTAATTTAGTATTGTGGCACAGCTGTAAACTGTTTGTCTAACAGAAAGCAAAATAGAGTTTGAGAGCCACAGCTCTACAAATTTATCTGTGCTTTTAAGGTTATGAAATATGTATGCATTTACAGAAAATGAGCTTTAAGCTTTCAGATTCTCTCAGCAAGCGTTGAATAGTTTCTGTATTAAATGTTGCAGTTCAGTTCTGCTGTGCTATTGTAGTTTCATTCAACCCTAGGCATCTCATTAATCATCAAGTTGGTTCCCTGAAATGATGAGGATGTTTAACATAAAACTGAGATGGGGGAGGTTTAGCTTAGATATTAGGAGGAAGTTTTTCACACAGAGGGTGGTGACGCACTGGAACAGGTTGCCCAAGGAGGCTGTGGATGCCCCATCCCTGGAGGCATTCGAGGCCAGGCTGGATGTGGCTCTGGGCAGCCTGGTCTGCTGGTTGGCAACTCTGCGCAGGGATTGAAACTAGATGATATTTGAGGTCCTTTTCAACCCAGGCCATTCTGTGATTCTACCAGTCTATGATAAAAGATGTATGAGCATTTACTATATCACCCCTACACCTACCTTTCTGTATCTTTCCCCTAAATATTATATAAAGATCTGGATGTTCTATGGAAATCTTAATCTTTCTCTGAGACCTCAGTTTATTGTGCTTTTTAAAATGTTGCTTTTGCAGCATAAGGAAGTGCAATTTGGTGAGGAAAGCATACTGCTACCAACTGAAGTATGGTATTTGTCCCACAAAAATGTGGGAGTCCAAGAAGAATTGGTTTTCTCGGGATAATCCAGTTCCCTCAGGCACTCTAGTCAATAGAAATAGGCATCTTTAGGAGGAGATCCGTCTCATCCAAAAATAAGTACCTAACATGAGCAAGCTGATGAGCTCCTTCCTTTCATAAAGCATAGAGAAATTTTTATTTAGGTAGCTGATCGTAGAAGCAAAGTCAAATAAAATGAATTTGATCACTTCCCTCAGTGCTTCTGCACACTGTAAATGGCCAGTACACTGGCAGTACGAAAGGTCCAACAAACCATGAGGGTTTCAACAGTTTAACAAAGTCCTGGAGCACGAGCTTTTGTCTTCCCCTTGTCTGAAGCTCCCATGCTTTGGTCTTCATGTATTTTCCAACCTTCAACACGTAATGTCTCCTACCACAGAATGTCTTAGACACACAATTCCTCTAAAGATCTCATCCTTATGGTATGGTCTACATTATATTTTAACATGTCAACCTTGCTCCACAGTACAGACAGATTAAAGAGGCTTCATCCAAGGATCATCCACAGTGATAGAAGCCATTTTTGATTGCAGAATCAGAAGATGTAACCTAAAGTACATTTAAAGCTCCCTTTGACATCAGAGGAAACAGGCACCCACCTGCTTACTGAGGCAAGAGTATTTCAACAGCTCTCAATTTACAAAAACAAGTCTAGCTCCAGCTTCCACTGGGCTTTTATTCTGTGTCTGTAATGCATTTAGAAGATGTCTTCATGGATTCATATAAATAAAGCATTACTTGTGTTCTTAACAGAATATTATGCAAAGGCAGTAAGGTTAGTTTAAGCATCTAAGTAAGGAAAATTTCTATATTAACTCATTAATCATACAATGACAATAAAATGACAATACTGAAGGAACAAAATAAGTGATGTTCCTGGCTATGTCTGTAATGTTACTTTTGTTAATTGTGCCTGGTGGTACATAAGAGATAAATCTAGAAAAGCTGATAGGCTGTTACATTTGGTGTTGACTTACTAGTCTCAGCATCAGTAGTCCTACTGAATTATTTGCAGTTAAGTGCTTCGTCAGGTCAGAATTAATGCATTTTCTAATAAATGAATAAATCAATGAAAATCAGGGTGATAATGCTTATCACTGAGCTTTTTTTAAAAAAAAAAAAAAAATTATTTACATTGTAATTCAAGATTATTCTCAAAACCTTATGTCCATGTGCCTACTTCAGGAAGCTCTGTGCATTCCTTTCGTTTTTCTTTTCCACTTTCTTAAGCAAACACAGGCTTGGTAGTTCTATGTGACTAATACATCATTTACTATTTTCAAAAGGAAAGATGCCATGGAGCTTCTCTATATCCCTATCTCTTAAAAAATATTTTATGTGGATAATCAGAAGGGGCAAAATATTTATTTCCATTACAAACTAAGCTGTAATTCCAGTTACATTTTCTTTGAGATGGCATTTCCTTTTGCTGCCAAAACATCTACTGATAATAACCTCTCTCTGTGCTTAGTCCTAGGCAAGATCCGAAGTGCTGTTGGAAGTGCTCAGCTCCTCATGTCTCAGAAATTCCAGCAGTTTTATTGGCTCTGTCAGCAAAATCTGGTAAGTCACCAGCTCTGGCCATTCTTGAAGAGTTTATGAGTACTCATACCTAATATTACACAGAATTTAACTGTAAATTGTAGAACTTAATGCTTTTAATTCAAAGGCAAAAACAACAGAAAATGTAGAGTACATACATTCTCATTTTCATGTCTCACATTTGTCTCGCTGTTCCTCTTTTATTTTTTTTTTAATTTAATCTCTAAGTATTGTGTTAGTACATCTTTTAGCAAAGCAAATGTAATTTCAGTAATTTTAGACTATCTGCGTTTTGTCTTTTCTTTTTTTGCTGTCGTTATTAAAGAGAAAAAAGGATGAGAAGGGAACAAATGCAAGTTTTCTTAGACATAATATTGTGGCTTATTTTTGTAGTACCCTAAAATAGTAACTGTATTTCTGGTGAGAAAAGACGTTTTTCAAATTACAGTAAGCAGAGAATAGTAGGAGACACGATGCAGCTCTCTACCTACCTGAAAATGGGACTGATCTTGGAAATGAGAACATACAGAATGTTCATAAAATTGGGTTTCATAATTTGCATTGCCAATTATATATAAGATGTCCTAGGGCGAAAGGAGCAGATGCAGTATATTACTTGTAGGAGTTACTGCTATTGTTCTGGAAGTTCATTAGACACTAATTTGATTCGAAATGTTATCTTCGTTAATATGACAGCAGCCATCAGTGATATAAACGCTGTGGCAAGATGATACTAAGAAATAGAAGAACATAATGCTTCTAGCTAAGTCTGATGGTAGAACACCTACAATCTCTGGCTCACTTGAAAATCAAGTGTAACTTTTGACTGTCCCTATCTCGTATATTAAAAGCTCTGAATTTTGCTGCATGCATTACAGCAGATGCAAGCTGTTTGTCTGATTAGACACATTTCCTCATTTGCTAGTATTTACTGCACAGGTTTTTAAGGCAAAAGTAATTCTGCAGAGACTTATGTGCTATTTTCCATTCATAACATTTCATATCTAGAATTCCTGAAACGGTAATCAAATACTGAGAGAGTCTTGCCAACCATGTCCTATCTTCTGATAGAAAAGGGTAAGATATATGGTCCTCATTAGGAAAGAATCCAATTATCCACTTCAAAGAGTCTGTCAAAACAAGAACTTTAATAGCTTTTACAGAATGACAGAGGAAATATGCAAAGTCAGGCAAGCAGGAGATGACCAAGTTTGTAATATCAAGTGTATCATATGTGCTACTGTTTCTCCATTTGTTTGATAGTGAAAGAAGGAAATCTTCCTTAAAATCTAAAAGTGTCGTACGGTAAATTTCAGACTTCCCTCTGTTTCCTGACTGATTAAGCTATGCAAAATCAGATTTAGAGAGCCCAACCTGCTCTCCACTTTGCTTTTCCTTCAAGTGGGTCCGGGAACTGTGCTTGAGAGCATTACTGTAATAACAAGAGCAGCTCCTGCTCTGCACAGCTGATGGCTGTTTGGAAGCTTTAGCATGTCATTACTGCAAAAGCAATAGGAGGAATCCATAGCTTTGAGACAGCTTTATCAAAAAAAAAAAAAAAAAAAAAAAAAAAAAAGGCAAGATTTTATTTCTCTCCTTCTTATATGGATAATAAACCTTTGAACTCCATACCAGCAGCTTTACTCCGTTTTGGAGATTTGTGCTCTGAATATTTTTCACCAATCGCTTAAATCACCAATGGGCTTTGCAGAAAGGAACAAATGCAGAACTGGACTTTTAGCTCATTCATGTTTTGAGCTTTTCTTCTTATGAGTAGTAGTAGTGTTTGTTCTTAAATAGTCGCTTAGCCCACATCTACAGCAGACATTCCATATTCTCTGGCAGCAGCATCTTGGTCCTCCATGGGAATGCTCACAGATAACAGCTACTGCAGTACATCTGGCACTTACAAGGCTCCAACACATTGGTTTCTTTAACAGTATTCAACAACAGTAACCGTAAATGTAGGACAGAGAACAGCAGCTACTTTTGCCAATTCAAAAATGCAGCAGCTTTAGGAAGAGGAACACGCTTACGTTGAAATTTCTCCATGGCTTATGGATTGTTCTAAAGAATCTGAACAGTTTCAAGGATCACATTTGATGATGCTATTGGTTAAGATGTCTCATTCAGGATAAATTCATAAAACCAACCAGCTTCAATGATTTTTTTATATAAGAATTGAGCTCCTATCTCTTACAGTATACAGTTCTTACTAAAAAAAGCATCCCTGATTAGTGACTACTTCCTGGTGAATTATTCACATTATCTTTTATAAGATAATGTTTTTCTTTGAAGTGTCCTCCTCCATACTCCAGTCAGCAGACATTCTGCTCAGCTCTTGAGATCATCGCTAAGTATGTCATGGTTGCAGGCAAAACCAGAGCAACACAAGCATCGGCTGAATACTTTTTGCTTGCTTTAGGCTTCCTTTTGAAAGAAAGCTGCAAAGCCGAATTCCAAACACAATAAAAACAAAGAAGCCACTTCCGAAAAAAAAAAAAAAAAAAAAAAAAAAAAAAAAAAAAAAAAGCAGCTTTAAGCCAATCTTCTCAAAACTCAGTTAACTGTAGTAGCAACAATTTTTACTAGCGCTCATCCATGAGCTGTGGATCCATAAGCTATAGCAGCAGGAGGCAGCCCTCTTGTGTCCATATGATGCACCGCATGCTCCTCTCCCAGCCGCGCTGGAAGCTGTGCTCTTGTGCAGCAGGGATGAGTGGAGCACAAAGGTACAGAAGAGCAATTACCCTCAATTCAGAAGTCAATGGCATTTCCGCGAGTGGCATCACTTTCTGGCTGTGCAGAGGAAACTGAGGAGAGAGACTGAGGAGACCAGACTGGAGAGAACAGATTGCAATGTAGTATATGTTGCTGACAGATTTCACACTAGTCAGTTCTTGAAGCCTGTAATATTGACCTCTCTAGAGTAATTAATATCACTGACACATGTTGTCAGTGCTTTTAAAGTAAATAGGGATCTACCCAATATGGTCATTTTCAGTGAATACTAATCTAGAGTTGTATCGTGTTTTCCAGAAATCTCTTATAATCTGCATAGTAACTACTAGTCCTCAAATTCCCCATTAAACAAAAGCTTTTCTAGCAAAGATTTCTGCATGGCTCTAGTTTAGGACCAGTTCTCTCTAATGTTCTTATCAATGATTTGGATACAGGACTTGAAGTTATACTATGTTTGCAGACAATACTAAATTGTCAGGAACTGATGATTCCCTTAAGAGTAGAGAGGCCTTGCAGAGGGAGAGATCTTAACAGTCTTGACAAATTGGAGAGCTGGACAATCACCAGATGCATGAGGCTTCACAATAGTAAGTGCCTGATTCTACAGCTGGGATGGGGCAACCCTGGCTATATGTATGCCATATAATAAAGAACTTTACCAAGAGAGTGGTGAGGTGCTGGAACAGGCTGCCCAGAGAAGCAGTGGATGCCCCGTCCCTGGAGGTGTTCAAGGCCAGGTTGGATGGGGCCCTGGGCAGCCTGGTCTGGTATTAAATGGGGAGGTTGGTGGTCCTGCATGGCAGGGGGGTTGGAGATTCATGATCCTTGAGGTCCCTTCCAACCCTGGCCATTTTATGATTCTGTGATTCTGTGATGAGAGGCTGGAGAGCAGCCTAATGGAATCTGGGGATTCTGGATAATGGCAAGTTGAATCTCAGTCAGCAGTGTTCCCTGGCAGACCAAAGGGCCAACCATACCCTGGGGTGCCCCAGGCCCAGCACAGCAGTTAGTTGAGGGGTTGTCACCGTCTGTTCTGCACTATGTGGCCCCACCTCAAGCACTGAGTGCAGGTTTGGGTACCACAATAAGTGAAGGACATAAAAATATTAGAGAGCATCCAAAGGAGGCCTGTGAAAATGGGGAAGGGTCAGGAGGGCAAGGTGTCATACCCAGCTCCAGCCACTCAGCTCCCACAGTGAGGAAATCCAAATTTAAATAGCAGTCCCTACTGTAAGACCCCTATGAACATGAAAATCAAGGGAGAAGCGGAAAATAAATGCTGATTTATCTCTTTCCTAGGTTTTAGGTAACTATGTGAAGCTGTGCTCATTACATAGAATGCCTTCATCCTTTAGATGCTGAGCATATGGGACACAGAGCCTTGCTCAGTCGATAACACCACTATTTATTAAATTAGCCATTTTAACTTTGGCCTGGGAAGGAGATTATGAGCATTTTTGGGTTGATTTCAACTGCGTTACTCTCAGTTCCACTGTGTAGACCTACAAGGGCTGTTCCAAATATAATGCCTCCTGATTTATTACATTGGCATGTGATGTCAGAGGCGTATAACCTTCCACCAATATTCCATTACGTTTTGTTGTCATGTGACAGATGGCAGCAGAGGGGCAGTCTGACAAGACGATGTCTGACATGAAAGTGCGTAGAAAGCAAAGTTGTGTCACTGAATTTCCCTGTGCAGAAAGAATTGCACCCATTGACATTCATCAATGCTTTTTGAACATTTATGGAGACCAAAAAGTAAATGTGAGCGCAGTGAAGTGGTGGTGGTGCATTTCAGCAGTGGAGAGTGGATAACAGTGACTGTGGATAACCTCCACTGGTGCAGATTGTTACAAGTGTGCAACATGAAGGCTCTTGTTCATTGTTAGTGAAAGTGGTGATGACTATGTTGAAAAATAGTGTTTTGTAGGTGAGAATTTGCTCTATCTAACAGTATTACTGTGTTTTTTATAACTGTTGTAGTTTCCATGGAAATAAATATGAGGTCTTACTTTCAGAGTGACCTACATACTTCTCTGATAGACATTTGCCCATCATCTTCACAGAGATGTTTGCCAATTAAACCCTACTTCACTGAAGTGACAAACTTGTCCTCTTGAACAAGCATCAGGGCTCAAGATATGGGGTACAGAGTCTGTATACTATTTTTTAGGTAATTTTTTATCCAACATTGACATTCAGCTAATAACTACCTAACCTTGGTAAATGGGAATAGTATCTCAGTATCATTACTGAGCATGATTCTACCCCATGGGAAACAAAATTCTAATAAACATCCCCATCCAGATTTTCTACCTTACATGTCCATTTGAAAACCCAGGAAAACATAATCAAATCCAGCATAAGTTGACAATTTTCTTGCGGTGCTGTTTGGTTGTTTCACTCACCTATGATGTCTGTAATTTTTAACAAAACTTCAGTATACCTAGAATATAAGCCACATCCCTATTCCATTTAATAATCAGCAGACAGAGTCTGTCAGCATGCTACATTTTAGAAATGAAGGTCAGCACAGCAGATGGTGTTGAGGGGCTTCCCATGATTCTCAGATCCAGAAAGGCCAGTGCAGGAAATCTCACTTATTTGTACCCAAGTTGTATGGGAGGCACAGCTTTTCAGTCATAGCTCACGGCTGCAGAGCACATGTAGCCTTTGCCCTGAGCAGCAGTGCAGCAAAATGAACTGGGACAGTTCCCTTCCTACCTCAAATCACTTTGTTTAAAGCTTCCTGCTCTATTCATATTCTCTCTTTTGTGCATGACAGGACCCGAGTGCCATGCCAAGACCAACTTCCCAGGACCTGGCAGGTTTCTGGGACTTATTGCAGCTCTCAATTGAAGATGTCAGCATGAAGTTTGATGAACTGCACCAGTTGAAACTCAATGAATGGAAAATAATAGAATCACCTGAAAGGAAGGTAAGCAGACCATGGGCAATACCATTTCCCTCCCATTTACAGTACTGTAGCTTCCATGTTTTAAATTCAGTAGGGAAATGTGGTAGGTTTCTAAGCCAAAGAAGGAAAACAGCTGACTGTGGCCCAACTTGTACATGGAAACCCACATCACTCATAACAGTGTGGTTGTTTGGTTTTTTTTTTTCCTTTTAACAATGTTGAGCTGAATTGTGTTAACAAAGAAAATGGATTTTGCAAAATCTCGTCTCTCTGCTACATAAAACTTCTCCTGAATTTATCTGGCTTCATATTAAAAAAAAAAAAAAAAAAAAAAAACAAGAACTGAAACATGTTCTGAGTAATTCAGATTGAGAACAGTAGCCCAAGAATTCAATCAAGGTGGACTGCAGCATGTTGTTCCTTCTGGGCCAGCTCAAACCTGAGCTACAGCAATCAATCCTGCTCGCATAAATAATTGATGCTGGTACAAGTGGCAGAACATGGTGTTGGTCAAGCTAAAGTTTGGCCTATGGAAATTCTGGGGGAAAAGAGTGCTTTTGGCCAGCTGCCCGCATTTCTCAGTTTCGATCCCACTGTCTGGGAGATACCCCTGGCCACTAGGCTTCCAAAGCATGTGGCACCATGCCTACAAGCACTTGATTCCCAAACTGCCTTTCCCCTTCCCAGAGCTCTTTCCCATACCCGAATTATCCCACTACCCTTGCTGATTATTTTATCAGTCAGATGACGGCAGCATTTGGTTTGAGTCAGTACTGTTGGCCTCAGGTGAATTCTTGCTTGGTTCGGGAGGAATTAGGAGGCATTTTGACAACTCTTTCATTTCTTCATGCTCCTCTTGGATTTTAATTTTCAGCCAACTGGTTGGTGGATGGTGAGTTTGCAACTCTTGCTTACTAGTGACAACTGGAAGTAAGAAATTATTATAGTGACAGCAACAGTGATGTTCCTAAGAGGAAAATAAGTAAAAGTGAAAAAATAATAAGATGGGACAGCAGGAATGGAGCCCTTATGTTCCTGTCTAAAAACAGGAAAAAGAGAAAATAAAGACTGGGAGAGCTGTCTATCATGGAGAATAGCAACTTAGGCTGATGCACTGCTTTGCTGAGTTGGGAACGTTGAAATATATTCTTAAATAAATTTAACTCTAGTCTTGGCTAATGCATTTTGGTAGTAGACTCAGAATTTTCAGAATTAAAAAAAAAAAAAAGAAAGAAAGAAAGAAAAAAAAAAAAGACGATTCTGCAGTTCACCTTTTTATATTTGTTTGAATCCTGCTGTGCCTCAAATTAACTGTGTTCTCCATAAGGAACAGCCCATACTTTGGACTATTACAGTTACTGTAAGAAGTGATCCAGCAGAAAGATTATTATAATAATCACACTATACATACGAAATTGTGGACTCTCCATCTTTGGAGATATTTAGCCAATATTAAACACGATGTTGAAAAACCTGTTATAACATCAACCTTGGATCTAATTTCAAGTGGCTTTTGAAGGAATGTTATACTGAATTGCCTCCAGAGGTCCCTTCCAACCTAAACTTTTATATGATTCTGTGCTTCTACAATGTCTTTTCAAGGCCCTTATATGATATTCCACAGTCTATAAATGGAGTACAATATCAATTTCATATCTCAAAATAGTTCTTGATATAAAACCTGTATAAGCCATTGGCAGCTACTTTGGTAGCACATCTATTGACTCTTGCTTTGTAGTTTGCCAATTCTTCAGCATAATTTTCTTTAAAACGGTCCAGGCTGGCAAGGAGAACAATTAACTTATGTTCTCTCTTTGGCTGGTGCTTGCATGCTTCCATTTAGCAATCCATAGAGGAGACTAAACTAATAGATATGTATACACAGCTGCTATTTCGTATCCTGCTGAGGCTAAACTCAGTATGATTAATTTAATTAAAAATTACGTCCTGCTAATCTTAGACAGTCTTTTCACTTGATCAGACCACACAGATGCGCTGAATTCTTATTGGAGAGCCAGTGTGTGTTTCTGTTTATAATGAGTGTAATAATGTGTCAGAGAAAACTGAGCAAATTCACGTGAAAGTGAGGTACGTAGACTGCATGTGTAGGATATCTGCAAGGCCAGTGAAAGGAAGCGTAGTCTTTTTTAAGGCACAGGACTACAGAATTTGTGCTGAAATAACAGGTTTTTGTCAGTGTTTCTGGAATGGATAGCCATTCACGCAATCCATTAATCACCTGATTTTAGAGCAGAAACCGAGCATGCTTGATGTATGTAATGAGTATTTGGCACTGTATGTCTTCAATTTGCATGTTCTGCTGATGGTATCTTCCGCACGCCATTTACCTTCTATTTTAATACCCTATTTTAGGAAGAAAGAAAGGTTCCTCCTCCTGTACCAAAGAAGCCCCCAAAAGGAAAATTCCCCATCACAAGGGAAAAATCTCTGGACCTACCTGACAGGCAGCGACAAGAAGCCAGAAGGCGGCTCATGGCTGCTAAGAGGGCGGCCTCTTTCCGGCAGAATTCAGCCACAGAGCGTGCAGACAGCATCGAGATATACATCCCAGAGGCTCAAACCCGGCTTTAAAGACAGAATGCTGCAGAGTTCCTTTTTTAGACAAAATGCTTGTACAGTTTGTCACTTACCTGGTAATTTTTGTCTCATTCTCTCCATAAATATGCCCTTGCTGTTGTGTTCTTTGTGCCATAAGCACAGTGGAATGCTTTTGATTTCCTCAGAATTTGCTGAGCTCACCGCAAGAACGACTTCTTTTGTATTTATTGTCTGACTTACAATCAGCTACAATGGATAGGGCTTGTTGAGACCTGACTTATCCAGTATATTCTCAGAGGACAACAAGAAACACCTCTTGAGATGGAACCCAGCTTACTTTTTTGTTATTTATATTTTTATAAAATGTGTGATAATTAGGGATAAGAATAACAAACTATCAATGGGTGCATCTCACCATTCACTAGAGGCATTAGCTAATCCAAGTAGAAGGTGCTACAAACGTAAAGAGCAGGAAAGAAAGAACCCATTTATCTCTCTGACCTCCAGTTTCTTTTCCCAGAACCCAGCTAAAATATTTACCCATGTGCTCTGCCACTCTTCTCATCTTTGTTACCGCAGAATAATATTAGGCCTCTCATGTCATATCACGTTTCTGGAGATGAACAGGGATATCCAGCCACTAAAACTCCAAAGTTCATCAGAAACCAAGAAGCATGCAAGTCTGGTGGTGTTGGGAATGCCCACTGAGAAACGTTTGCTGTTAGCAGTATAACAACACTCTGAAACCTAAGCAAAATTATAATGCAAGAGGACTTGAGTGATGGGTGAAAGGAAAACGGAAGCCTTAAAAAGTTAGATCTTCTGTAGCAAGATGTGTAAAGAAAAAGTTATACTTACTCCTTTGGAACACTCATCGCATTTTTAACAGTTCTTTTATGTGTTAATGTTCATTTCATGATCCTCCCTTTCATTTCAAGAGCTGCGCTACATGTAATACTTCAAACTCTCAAAATGTTCTATCAATTGAGTTTCCAGGGTATCCTTGAGAAAAAAAAAAAAAAAATCTTGCTTGTTTAAAATGCCAGTTGTGATGTTGTAAACAGTTTAAGAAATATGAATGTGAGTGGTGAGTAAATCTAAGTTTAAATGGTTATGTTAAGGTAAAGGTGAACTGTGGTTTACAGTTGTATTTTTTTTAGAACTATTTTTCTATGCAGTATCAGTTACAGCAAGAAAAAGTTTCTTGCTTGCTTCACATGTAACAAACATGATTCAAGAGATAATTGATTTCCAGCTGTGGAATATAAGGAAAATAATATATTTTCAAGCCTCTCACTATTATGAGAGAGGTGGTGACTACCACAATCCAGAGGCTTTGGTTTAAAATAAACTAAGATAGAAATGTTCCACTTCACCTACCTTCCAGAGCCACCCGAGCAACCCAGCACTTAGAAGTCTTCAGGTGAAGACGCAATAAGATATGTAACCCAGAGACTCCGACTGCAAGGTTTGAAAGCTCCTCTGTACTACTTTAGGTCAAAACAGCGTTAACACACCGAGACAGACAGCCGCATCTACATTTCCTGTTTACCTGCTTTAACAAATGCAATGTATTTAATGTATTTAGCCATAGGCAGAACAGCTATTAAATTATACTCTAGCACTTTGGTTCTTCACCTGATGAGCACTTTAAATCCACGTCCCACACACCCTGCAGCCTGACAGATGACTGAAAACGTGAATTATCATAGGTTATGCAGATCTGACATTGCTTCTAATCTGTTTTGCTTTGGTTCTATTTATTTCTTTTCCTTTTCCTTCATTGTTTTCCTACAGTGTGTAGTATGAAGCATGAGTTCTGTCTTTGGAGCACACCTGATAAAGTGTGTTGAGCTTCAAGATGGGAATCTTTAGAGATGAGGTCTTGAGATGTTTCTGTGAGGAGAAAGCCCTGTAAATCGAGCCTGATATCTGGTATATACTTTACCAAATAGCCTTAAACTATGTTTGGAAGCAAAAACCAAGACGAATGTATGTCCCTCAAAAATGAAAAAAAAAGAAAAAAAAAAAAAAGAAAAAAATCCCTGAAATATTCTTCTATAGATAAAAGCATTATCTTTCCCATCCTTCATGTTTTCAAGGCATTTTCTATTAAGGAAAGAGCTGAATTCTGGGTAGGGTACAATATTGATGCTAATTCCTATATTTGTTTCACTATTTTAAATACAAATGTACTTGCAGACATTGGCATCTTTAGTGTTGAAAACTAATATGTTATTTAATGTGGAGCTGCTGATTAGAAATATCCACAGAAAACTAGAGCCTTTCCTAGATTAAGGAAATTTAAAATAGGCATACACACACACACACATATATATATCTATAGCTGCTGTATACATATATGGCAGCTGATAACGTTTTCTCTGATTTCCCTTTTGCTTCACACATGACTTGCTTGAAAACCCCCACCTGCAGGGACAGGTCATGCTGTGCTATTAAGACAAGTTAAATCTGATCCTGCTGGTAACTAGACCTTATGGAGACATATGGTGAAAAAAACCCACAAAGATTATAGATTTTTTAGATCCCACTTGACTTAATGCTGACTTGGAGCAGTCCATATAAGTTTTTAATTGAGAATCATATTTTGGTGATTTTTATATGTTACCATGATATTGGATGTTCTCGGGCAAAAATAGGCCTGCAGAAATGATGCCAACCCTGTATTTTACCATATTTCCCATGCCATTACTTATATGTTCAATATAAGTTTTGGATATGTGTGATTTCTTTTTGTTCCACCTTTGTTCTAAAAAAGAAGAAAGAAAAAAAAAAGGAATCAAAATTAAATTAGATGCAAATTAGATGCTTACTGAAAGATTTGATAATATGTTATCTGTGCATGTTATATTTCAAAGTGCAATATATTAAATTCTTCTACAGGTAACATTCTATCATTACAGGCAGATAAGCCATTTATATCTACATATTGTACATCCGGTTCATTTAGAAAAATAACATTATGCTTATCATACTTGTGTTGCAGATAAATCAAATTGCTTTGGTCCCCAATGTGAGAAACACAGCACATGGTTCCTTAACATGATCTTAACAGATCAAATATGATCTGACTCCCTAGCATCAAAATAAGATTCAGTTACAAAACCAGCATAGGAGGAACGTAACTAAACACTAAGAGAGAAAGTAGAATGCTTTCTGCTAGTGGACATCATGGAGTGCATACACACCGAACAGCTGGAAATAGCATTTAATTGAACACTAATTGGACTAATACTTATTTTCACTGATTAAAATTATAGAAAGTCTCAATTCATTTCTTCATTGCCTGTAAAACACAAGTATAATAAACAGAATTGTGAAGATTTAAATAAAGAAAAACCTGACTGGTGAAATTGTTGGTATCTGCCATACTTATTTTTGCTTTGTACATTTTTTTTTCAGATTTGAAATTCGTTGTAAATTGGTGAAGTATATTATGGAGTGTTTTATTATTTCTTGTTGACCTGATCGGAATGGCCTTTGGCAGTGTGCAAAGACTAATCATGTTGTATAGTTTAATACCAAAAAATTACATTTTAATTTATGCTTATACCTTGTCACTATGTTAGACTTGAGATAACCAGGAAGGAATTAAAGCGTGCATAGGAAGCTGTGTGGATTTCCTGTCTATATAGTACATTTCATATAATAGAAATTATTTGTTTTAAAATAAGCTTATGTTTCCTGCTGTATCAGTAAATTAATAACCTAGTTTCTACTCCTTTGGCACTGCGTCTAGAATAAAGCGAGGGAAATCGGGGTCATTTGGTGGTTTTGCAAGGAGAATACTTTCTCCCTAAGTGTTCATGTGCCATAAGTGACCTGCGGTCTCTGCAGGCCCTGCTGCGATCCATGGGGTGAATCCCCCCAGATCCGCCCGTCTCAGCCATTGCATCCAGTCCCTGGAGCTCACCCAGGCCAGTCTGTGGGTTTGGTGTCCCCATTGGCATTATGGCACCAAAGCTGGGGACGCATCAGATGCCAACCCAACAGGGGATGGTTCGTGCATGATCACACAAGGTCTGAGTTTGGTCTGGTAGCTCCGGGTGCCCAGGAGTGTGTGCTGAAAAGCTGTGACATCCCTTGGAGCAGGAGCTTTTGTATGAGGCAGTGTTGGAATGAAGTATGAGGCGGTGTTACTCCCACTGCTATTCCCAGAGCAATTACCTTGTGGTGATGGCACTGGTGAGCTACATTCCAGATGAGGAGTATCAGTAAAGCCTTCAATGTTTAGAGAGATGCTTCCTGGTGGCCAGCAGGTTGATACTTACATTTACACAGTGCCTTTCATCCAGAAGGATCTCCAAGCACTTTATTAGAGGACATGCAAACTCCAGGCTGGGCTCCCTGCAGGCAGTTCCCCTTCCCACAGCTGGATGCTGGCCTGGAGAGCTGAGGGCATGAGGGCCCTCCTGCCTGTCCCCATGCTGCCAGGGAGTTTCCTTCCACACCACCCTCCTAGCAGCTAGAGACTCTCCTGGTCCACACCTGTGCCAAATAGGTAGTGAGACTCGATGAACCAGGAGGAAAACCTGAGCAAAGCAGAGGAGAGGAGAGAGCAATGCTGATCTTGTAGGCAGGGACAGAATTAAATCATGTTTCCAGAACAACCTTTGCCTTTTCTGTTTATGATGGCCTGAGGTCATGGTGATGAAGGAGCTCCACCAGGAGGGTGCATCTATCAACAGGTGCAGGAGCTGAGCCCTTCCTCCAAGATCTTAGTAAGCCTCTCCTTCACAAGTGCGTTCCTCCACAGCTTTTTTGGCCAGAGAGATGGGCCTGGGGCATGCAATGCAAAAGCAGCCTTTGTGTATTTCACAACTTCCAAGTGCCCAGTTCTCTCCCCTTCTTCCCTCTAGCCAAGCTTAACATGGAGCACAAGAAGGAATTAGGCATAAGATTATGCTTTGGTTTGGGTAATTGCTCTGAATCAGTGCTCAGCTCTAACGCTAAGCGTCCTTTGTACAACAGAGCAATGGTGACATCTCTTAGAACTGTGAGGAGGGGCAGAT